AAGATAAGGATTCTTTTAATGTCTCATAATTAATAAGGAGAGCATTCCTTACTAACTAGCTCTTTGAAGTCTGTTCAAGGGATTGTTTTGAGGAGCAAATTTATGAAGAAATCTTGGATTTTAAAGATACTCTTAGTGTCTTTTTATAAAGCACCATTTCTGTTTTGGAGCTGGATCAGAAATTGTGAAATTTAGGTCTGTTTGATAATCTTAAATAAATTATCTGTGAACATAAAGAAAATCTGTAGAAAGGAATACTTCTTTTGCCAGATTGCTTGGCAGTGTTAATTTCTAGAAATCATTTCTGTTTGGTTGATTGAGATTCATTTGTTTTGTTTTATTTTGTTTTCTTCTATACTGCTCAAAGTTGTGCCCTTTGTTAAATTTTCGCAGTTTTTACTTAGTGGACCTGGTTTATCTATAACAGAAGGCAGAGTTTAGTCCTTTTGGCTGTTAACTATATCAGTAGCAAAATAACAAAGGCACCTTTCAAAAGCAGAGAGAGAAGAATCTAAAGTCTTTTCGGTTTGGTAACTATTCGTTTTCTTTCTTTAAATATCATTCTTGGGGCACGTGGGTGGCTCAGTCCATTAAATATCATTCTGATTTTTAGGACACACTTCTATCATATAAAGTTGAATTGACACATTAGGTACAATTTACCCATTTTCCCTATATGGTTTGATTAATTAATGACGTACCACAGTTTAAAGTGGGAGGGAGATGGATTTAAACTGTAACTGCTGCCTTTTAGTTGTCTTAAGATACTTCAACTGTGCCTGTAGATTTCTGTAACTGCTTCTCTAATTGAAAGGATACACCAGCTCTTTCCATTCAGACTTTTAAAATTTCATTTTTCCTATGGTGAATATAATAAAATTTATAGTAAACTTTTGGAGATAAATCTAAGAATGTTAGGATACCCATCGATTGAAAATTTGATTAGCTTTGAAAGTATTTTCAGAGATTTGCTTTTGTGGACATCAGCAGATAAAATTGTATGCTTTTAAATAATGATGTTTCGGGGGGTCAGAGGCACCTGGCTGGGTCAGTTGGTAGGGTCTGCAACTCCTGATCTCAGGGTTGTGAGTTCGAGCCCCATGCTGGGTATTGAGATTACTTAAAAAAATATATATGTATTAAATAATGGTGTGGGGTAGTACATTGTCCCAAAGATTGGATCACTGAATTTGGGGCTTTTTTATTTTTTTAAAGATTTTATCTATTTATTTATCTATTTGAGAGAGAGAGGGAGAGGCAGAGGGAGAGGGAGAAGCAGGCTGAGCAGGGAGCCCGATGCTGCGCTAGATCCCAGGAGCCAAAGGCAGACACTTAACCGGTTGAGCCACCTGGGTGCCCCGGGACTTTTTCTAATTG